ACATGTAGAGTCGTCAACTTTTTGAAGATAGATTGGCCTAAATAAAATGTTTTTAATTGTGTACCAGTTTAACGTTGAATATTATTTATGAGTGTATTTTGATTTTTTATTGTGTATTTAAAAAAATACCAGGACTGAAACAGTTGCTTATCTATAAATGTGGCAATGAAAGCATTAATTTATTTCTATTTTTTACTTTTACTTCTACTTTAAAAACTGTTTTTTTGTTTTAATATACTTCCTAAGCAAAATCTTATTTTAAAGTCAACAATAAATGTATCTATTTTATATTGTGAACAAAAATGAATATTACCTTGCACTATCTTAAATAGGTAAACTAACATAGATCAATTATATGTATAAATTAATTATAGTTACGATATAAAGAAATTATTAGAGTTCAATAAACCTTACTCTGCATTCTCTTCATCAGCATCTGGAAGGATGTTGCGCGTACACTGAAGTAAGTAGTTACGTAGAAATAGCCCTCGAAGTGGGTGTTGAACACCTCGACACATTTCAACAATGTCCTTCAAAATATCTCTTTTAGAATGTTCATTGGTCCTCATGTATACCAAACCTACTGTAGTTAACAAGTACCTGTCCAAACCCAACATTTCAAAACAATTATTAACCAACAGTTTTATGATTTACCTAAATTATTAGAACTGGAATCAATAAATCATCTGTGTAGAAATTCACAACTAGATAATAAGTACATTTTTATCCAGCAGACCCATGTACTAATTATCTTGGATTTGGTCTAAAGTAAATTTGGTAAAGTAGATTTGGTAAAGACAAATTAGAATTTATGCAAGTTAATACATAACAATTTTCTACTGTAAGTAATTTGTTACTTATTGATTATTTCTGGAGTATGAATAATGAATTAAAACAAACTGCATTCATTTAAATCTTTCTCATATCAGGTACAATAATTAAGAAAATGAACAGATAGTTTAAAAACTATGATATGATGTTCCCACCAAACTCAAATATTAGTGTAAAAAGTAAAGCAATCAAGAGGAAGAGAGAAATATTTGTACACGAAAGAAATCATCTTGACAGCTTACTTTATTATAGTGAAATAATAATAATAAACAACAGAACGATACAAAACTGAAGAAAAGTAATACTATTTAGCTATTAATTTAATGTACAGTTGCTATTTACCAGCAGTAACACACACTTACAGCCGTGGAATGATGTTGCCCGCATACTGCACCAACTCATACAAATCAGCTACTTTGTGCCCCTTTTGAAACTCATCTAATAAATATAGCTCAAGGTGCCTCAGTTCATCTGTCACTGCCATGTCTGATTTGGAGGATCAAGGAGTTTTACAGACTAACAAGTAAAGCCATAAATTAAATAAATGGCACTTCAAAATAAGATTAGATAAAAAAAAAATAGCTAATACATCTCAAATAATAAGAATTACAAAAGCTAATATAATACACAACAGTACATTAAGATATTTTTATTAGTTTCTGTTAGTAGAAAGAGGGCATAGGATTTTTTTTCATAATTTACTGAGTTTACATTTTTTTAAAAAAACATTAAATTTACGACAGTACTTGAAGTTAACAGCCAGTCTGTTTCATACATAGGGTATATTATATATTTTTTTTTAACTTTCATTAATAGTATTGGTTAGAATGTTTAATATATCTAATTTTATCATTTATTTTAATTTCTTTTATTATGCTTTTATTTAAGATTGTTTTGCACTGTGAACTTAACATATAGATTTAGAGTTAACCTAAATCTCTTAAGTTGGTCAAGATATTACTGAGTTCATGGCCAAAAATATTAGCATCTAGGATATCCAAATGATAAAATAATTCATTTTAATCTTTATACATAAGAATGTACAAAAAGGATATTAGCTAAACACATTACAAGGTTGATCTTTAGTTTCACTTTATGTAGGTAGCTTGCTTTGATTGGAAGTTAATATTAAAAAAATAAATGCAGTACTACTATAATATTGTTACGTCAGCAGAAGTCACGCGACACTGGGAGCATGCGCGCTGGAGTTTCTAGAAGGATCATGATTTTTCCTGGCAACTCTAGTCTGATCTAGGCACCCACTCTTTTAGTATATAGGCCGGAGATAGATTGAAGAGAAATAATGAAGTCATGCGAGCAGCAGGTACCGTAATTAAAGTGTGTAAATTGCTATGAATAATAGTGTGTGTTTATAAAAGTAGTTAAGTTTAAAGTGACTGTGGAAATTAAGTGTATTACAAAGTTTGTAATGAGAAAAAATAAACTAGTTTTAATTAAGAAAGGACTTGTATCGCTGAAGCTTCTTGGAAAGAATTTTTACAGGAAATTATCAAACAAGCAGATACGTAACAATATATATAAGTAGAAAGGATACAAAGTTAATTGTAATTTTAGGGCTAAGATACTGGAAGCATGCTTCAGAGCCTTAATATTAAATAAGCAAATGCAGTACTATTCTAACATACAAACAGCAAGGATACAAAGTTCATAGTAACTTTTAGGGCTAAGAAGGGAAGTTCGTAGTTCCCCTAACATGTTGGAAGCGTGCTTCAGAGCCTCCATTAGTTTACTTTTGTCTAGACATCTTTTCATTTGAAAAGCCTGGACTTTCACAACACCTAATGCTTCATCCAACAACTTGTCCTGTTCTTCTTGAGGTGAGAGTTGTGGTGTCTGAGGCTATAATATAAACAAATGTTGTAATTAAATTCCAGGAAATGTTCTTATATAAAAACCCAAGTGAGAAATGTTTAAATATGTAATGAAATACAATATAAAGAAGACAGCATTTTATATATATGTTGTTTAGTAGGTCTAAACAGAATAACATAAAATACTGACATAAACACCAGACCAAATGATTGTGAAAAAAAAAAAAAGAATTTTGGAAAGTCTCTTAAGACTAAACAAAATTCCCCAGTTAACTTTTTCTGTGTCATACTTATAGATAAACTCCCCAGAGCAAAGTTCAAGTTTAGATGCACAATAAAGAATGAAAATAGATACAGGTTTTCATATTTCATTACTTATCTGAAACTTGAAACTTTTCTTCATGTTCGTACAATATTCCAAGCAGAAATGATTAATATCACAATTTTCATGGATAAAACCAAGTTGTACAGTGTAGCCCATGGCAGTGCTATAGAGGGTGACATACAAGCATCCATGGCAGAGTTAACTGTCCAGATAAACTACTACTTAAATAGGAATCCCAACCCATATACTGCAACTTAACCAAGCCAAAGTTTTCACATCATCAGATCCAGTATTACTAATTTTTCACTTTTTACTTAATAAGTCCAAAATCAGCACAAAAATGAAACTAACTTTGATACAACTTCTAAACTGGTTGTCAAAATTGACCAACTTAGATGAGGGTTGCCTGATATTTTTAGTGTAAACTTGGCCAGAGATGTACATATTTTAGTACAAACAATAATCAGATGTATTTGAATACGAGCAGCAATAGAAAAGTACACAATATGACTGTTAAAAAAATCTGTTACCAAAGGGAACAATGAGTGAGTTTCAAGATGAATTAGTAGTTAGAATGATGCTTGGCACCACTGATTAGTTCTTTATATATTTCCAGTACAGTAACAAATTGTCATTTTTTCTGGCTGTTTTCAAGTTACTGTCTTAGTTTTCATTTGCAAAACATGGAAATCCATCTGATACTGTCATTGAAACTTTCTTTGAATTTCTGTAAGGCAATTTGAGGCTATATTCCTGTTTCATCATAAATTATAATGATAATTATTTACTTGTATTTAGAATCCATTCCATTTCTCCCTTATTTCCCAGGAATTTGTGTTCACAGGTCCTCCTTCTTCTGGAAATCCAACAACCATCAAATTTGTCAGATATCGAACTCACTCGATAAATTGTATCTACTCAGATATCTCATCATGAGTTTGTCTCACATGATATCTGCTAAGGATTTCTCTGATCACTTTTTGCTCTCTGATCAAATATATTTTACCCAGGAAAAATTCTTCATGCTTAAAGTGACAAGCCTATCCCATTTCAAACATTACAGCTGTTATATAGTAACTGTGTAAAATGCACGTCTCATTTTCCATCTGCAATGTTTGAAAACCCTGCATGCTGAAATCGTACAGTAATTTGCTTTGCAGTGAATAGCCTGTCTTTTCGTTTTTATTTGTCATCACATGATGCTTTGTGGTTAGCATCTTCAATATTATATTTCAAGTTTCCTTTCATGTGGTGCCAGCTGTTGTATAAGATAATTTGAATATCAATAAAAAAGCACTCTTAGAACACTTTTGGGAAGCACCATCAAGTCACATTTCCTCTCCTCTTGCTCATTCAAACTATGCAACTGAATTCAGAAGTATGCCATTTAATTACAATGCAGTAACATGTTTAAATGAAGTAAGTGCACTGTTCCAAGTTCTATCCAACTACAATTTCTTTCTTACACCTTGTTGAAATGGCCATCCAATGGGGGCTTACTGTCTTGGGTTTTAGTATGAATAAATTGAATAATTCTTAATCCAGTTATTTATGAAATAAAAGCATGCAAAAGAAAGAGCTCCTTGCTTATATAAAATTATTATTTATCGTTTTGTAACACAACCTCTTTAAGGTGGGATAACTCATAGTTGATACTCATGAGGATGGACTTTATTAAAAAAAACAAAAAAAACCAGCAGACATCTTTTTTGTTGTTACCTATTAAAACTGTTGAGCAATATTATTTGCATTAGTATTACTTACTACGCTTTACTGAAAATCAAAGTAATAGTGTCATTTACATTTACATAAATTCAATACATGAGCATTTTTTATTTTTAGTTTTAAGATCCTGCCAACTCTAGATTGCCACAGCCTGAGATAAAAATATAATATTCATAATATATCTCATTTCCAACTCAGGAATAACCAAGCATGAAAAATAAAAATATTTCTTATTGTGTTTTTTATCTCTGCATCGTCCATTGGTTTTCTGCTGCAAAAAAAATTGAGCTTTCACTACTACCACAATTTCTTGGATTTATGTCCTCTTTTTCTTGCTGTTTATCATGTGCTTAAAATGCATGTGCTCTGGGCAAAACATTTTCACTATGGTGGGAGATAAGAAGGTGGTTTTGAGAGATTACACACAACTATGGTATTAAATGTGCATCAATCTGAAATCGTTATGGACTTGGGGATATCGTTCGCTGTTGTCGACGTGTATGAAAGAAAACACTTAAGAAATTTTATTAAAAAAATGCTTGTCTCAGAAGCTATTGGTGACATTGTGTCCAAACTTTTCATAAACTTTTGTTTATGACCACCTGTTATATGTAGTACAAAAGGACAAGAATTAAATCAGACTGCTTTAAATATGGTGTACCAAACTGTCAATTACATGTACATAAATTCAATACATGATAAAAGAACACTTGTTACATAAGACAAAGTTTTCTGGATCATCTTTAGCCTTAGGTTTAACTGAGTAAAGTTCCCCTTATCATTTTATTACACAGATGTTACAATAAATTTCCAACCAGTGTGCTGGTACTGCTCCAATATGGACATACTGCACAAGAATGAAGAACACATGAATCACTTCTTGCAACAAACCAATGACCTGGCATCCCTACAAAGTTGCTAGAAATTGGCATGGCATTGTATTAAAATTGATAAATAGATAAATCACAACCTTGTATGGCTTTCTCTTTTTATTACTACACATTTTTGAGCAGTTGTGTGCACATGAAAGTTATGTTTGACTGGTGTAACCACACTGCTAAGATCTTTTTACCATCCTCCTACTCTAATTTATTTTCCAAAAAAAATTGTAAATCTAATATTATATTACTTTTTGTTACAACTTATGTCATGTGTGAGAGAAGGTTTAGAAAGAGGAGAGTATACTTGAGCAGTCCATTAATAATGCTTTTCAGTTATGTCTTTTCAAAAGCTGTTATTTCATTTTACAATACATGACAACTAGGCAAAGATATATTAATGCTTATCTTGATCACAAGTCTTTACTTGATACATTCACATTAATCACACATTAGACTGTCCAAATACACTTTTTACCCCTGGCACACTATTATGTTTTTGAAATCAATTTTCAAAATAATTCCATTATTTCCAACAAAGAAAAGACATTTTTGTCATTTTAAATTTTCAACTTTAAACGAAACACTAAACCAAAACATCAATCACTGAATAGGAACTAGAAATATCTATTTTTAGAATCATACAGGAACAAGCAAAATGATAGTCTGCTAACATTAATTAATATTATGATCAAATAGAAAGTTGGGTACCATTACAGAACATTGTGATTTAAGCAACAGATAAATAAAAATAATACAATGTATTTAAAGTCACTGTAATAATATATTTTCAAATCACATGTTTATTACTCCATTACTCATAGAAGTATTATTATTACAGTAATAAGTTACCTTAACACTGATTAAAGACAAATTGTTTGTAATCATCCCAACTTCTTCATTCCAGCCAACTTATTCCTTTTCTTTCCCCATAAATTTGTCTTTTTCCTAGAAATATGTAACCTCAAATTTACCTTGGCATAAGTTCAACAACAGAAATATTGGAAGTTTCTTCTTCTCACACTCTGCTTTAAGTTCATTACAAAAATATGATATCATCATTTGTTGATTGACAATCCATGTTCTGTGACTGTACTCATTTTTATTTGCTTTGTGAATGTCGTTTTTAATGCAATGTACCGAGTAATTAGGTTCAAGTTTTAAATACTCACTGAATATAAATTTTAGAAAATTCTGGCAATATGCATTCCTTTTCAAGGATTTTGCTTCTTCTGGTTCTACAGCAATCTTCTTTTGAATAATCCTTCACGTGGTATCAACTGTAGTTAATATTAACTTCTGATCAAAGCAAGCTACCCATGTAGATTGAAACAAACTCAATCCAGTAATGAGTAAGGGTGATTAAATATACTTTTATTACATTCTTAATTACAAAGATTATAACACACTGTTTCATTGACTAGCAACCCAGTTTTGTAATCTATGGCTCTATTGAGTTGGGCTCAACATCATGTTAGTTTATCCACAATTTCAAGGAATGCCATCTGACCCAATTATTTCTTATGTTCAACATTACACCATTTCTTGTGTAGCTCACCATCTCAAACATCCTTACTGGGAAATACCTTAAAGAAGTGATGGGAATTAACACTGACACATCAAGTAGTAGACTTTTTGTTCCCCAAGGAAGATAACTGAAGTTTTCAGGTGAAAAAATAAAAGCAACTGTCTTCTGAAAGTCTTGAAATTCATTTTGATATCCTCCCCTAGAAACTGAAACATTTTTGCAATGGTTTCCAAGACTTTGAATAGCAGTTTTGGGTAGTGAATGACAACATATAATATATTTCTCGCAGCGGTTTTATAATTAATAAAAATTTCTGTCACACCCTCAGTTCTGTTAGTTTTTTTTGGGGGGGGGGAACACCTTCTCCAATTCAGTTACAGTGGCTGCATACAATATTTATGAAATATTTCAAATGGACTTCCTTAAAATGTTCATCATATTGACTCAGACAATCTGTGGTATTTCACATTGCTTTAAAGCATCTTCATGTAATGTTTTGCTTAGCATTTTCTTGACTACAATACTAATTGTCCATTCAAAAGCATGTTCAATATCATTAGGCTTAGCATTGT